TTAATGAAAGCGTAGTAGACAAACAGTAAGTTCCGGTTACTACTTAAAAACTTCTAGTAAATGATATAAACATAACAAATGTAGGTTGGATCTTCAATAAAAAGCTGTTGATTCTGTCAAAGGCAAGCCATTACCATAAAAGCATTATTTCTGAACCAGAAAAAACGACGAAAGTTTTGGGCCATTTGTGCTTCTTAACACAAGATTGGCAAAACTGCGCTGTCTTCCATATTTTGTGCAACTTTTTCTCATTTTAGTAACATTTTAAATGTTACTTAGTTACTTCTGGGCCAGTTTGCTGTTTTACCTCTAAATTGGCAAAACTTTTTTTTCAAAGTAGAAAGTCCAGACACTCGTCAGCACTGGTCACAAAAGACTAGAAAGTAATTATTGAAATAATGTTAAGTCAGATCTCTCATCTTTTTGTAGAAAGTAGGGCTACATATTAATGCATCATCTTGTGAATGAGGTGTTTCTTGGTGTTGTGGGCACTATTAAACAATTAGACTTAGTGTTGCTGGTAAGCCACAATTATCTGTACCAATTATCCTTTTTCTGTAGTCCATATATAGTTTCTCTATTTTGGTAATAAAGTGCTTTGTTGTTGTTAAGCCACACAAAAATGGTCCTCCAGGGCCACCATACTGTTCCTTCTCTGTTAAACAAGTTCGCATCCTTAAAAGTTAATGCATATTCAACTGTTCAAACAAACCTTCGAAATTATCGCTATCACAAAGACGCATTCGGATGAAAAAAACAGACTTCAAAGAGTTATTCAGAAGCAGCTGGTTTTAGTGGGTTCTGGGTCGTGGTTCGTGGCTAGTGTACCATTTATGTTTAAGTATAATGCGCACAATCGTCGAATTTAATTCCAGCGGTCCCAGGATTCAATTCGGACAGGACCTCGCTCTCAAGACCAATGGTAATTAGCTAATTTTGCACAACGTGAACTCGATGTAAACAATGAATAGTATAAGGACTCTGAGCAAACAAAGAAAGTTAACTTTTGCGTCAACTAAGGCTACTGAAAATTCTGTCTGCTTCGCAGATGTCATTGCCAGAATATCTCTCGTTCAAGGAGAAAATGGTCTATTACATGTAAAGCTCGCCAAAGCAAACTTCAAGTTTATCAAAGTTTTACTCTTTATGCAGTTTTCCACCATACTCAGTGAAAGGATAAGGCAAAAGGTGACATGTTCACATCAGTCGTTCACATCAGTCCGCACTCTAATTTGTCTTCATACTGAAGGATTCATTTTTGAAAAGTAATAAGGAAGAGTCCGGAAAACGAGGCTTAATTTTAAGCCTGAAAAATAGCGTCTTTTTAATCACACCCCGGACTGAAGAGCATTTAAGGAAGAGAGCTCTTCTTATAATGCCCACGATAGGTAATATCTGGCTGTTGAGCAAATTAACTCTCGCTTTCATTGAAGAGAAATCAAACTATGCGCAAAAAATCCTTGAGGCTCGTTAATGTAAGCGTTTATCAATTGGTGAATTTAACTTTTAAAATTTTAATTCAACTTTTTAAAATGCCTATCCAGTTCAGTTGATATGGTACTTTTCGTCG